GGCATACCGGAACAAACCCCCAGTCGATGCTAAGGGGCAAGAGTGGGACTTTTAGACATCCGGAACAAGCCCCCCAATCGATGCTAAGGGGCAAGAGTGGCCTAGGCCTTCCTTCTAGTGCCAAATGTTCTTACCGTAAGTTCGCTGTCATCGTTAGGGTCACCGCATCCGAGGTATTGTCCACTATGGCACTCGTTGGGCCGTCACGGTTTTGTCCTTTAAAAGGTGCCTTAGTGGGTTAAGGAGGAAGGGTGTTTATAAACTACTCTTAGCCTCGACTCCTAAGCGATGTGAGACTTTTAGGCATACTAGAACAAGCCCCCCAGTCGATGCTAAGGGGCAAGAGTGGCCTGGACCCTCCTTCTAGCACCAAATGTTCCTACCATAAGTCCACGGTCATCGTTAGAGTCACCGCATCCGAGGTATTGTCCGCTTTGGCCTCGTCGGACTGTCACGGTTTTATCCTTTAAAAGGCGCCTCGGTGGGTTAAGGAGGGAGGATGTTTATAAACTACCCTTAGCCTCGACTCCTAAGCGATGTGGGACTTTTAGGCATACCGGAACAAAGATTAATTTTTTCTTACTGAGATTTATGATTTTTAATAAATTTTTACTAATAATAAAGAATGCAAGACAAAAAATATTTGAGTTTGTTTGAAATTTATTGAAAATAACAAATGTTACTCAATGTGGAAGTCACCTAAATTTATATTTTTTAATAAATTTTAGTTAATAATAAAAATACTAAATAAAAAATATTTGATAGTTTGAAATTTATTGAAAATAATAAATTTTAGTAAAATGTGAGAATAATTGAAATTTAAACTAAGTTAGATTGATTCAAAATTATCATTATGGACACATATAGAGTTCTAATAAAAAGTTCTCTCATGTTCCTAATATTTAATAATAACTTAATAATACAATTTCTTTTTTCTATTTATTTGTACATTTATCTATTTGTCTCTTTCTATATATAAATTTTTTCTTAAACTTTTTTTCAATAATTTTCTTTATGCGATTATCTAAACTGTTTTTTTCTATAAAAATAATAATAATTTTATGATGTTTTTTTAAAAGAAAATTCTAACTACTTTTTAAAAATGTTTTTTTTATTGCTTTATCTAAAGCAAATTGATCAGGATCATTTTCACTTTATTTTTTAAAGTTTGTTTCTGTTCTTACCGGAAATCTGCTGTAGAGCTGATCTGCCAGGTAAGATTGGTGAGCCTCCTTCACTGGTACGCTGGTGCTCCGAGATGGGGGTGGTACCTGCAAAAAAGACTCTGATGCTAAAGTTAGGGTTTGTATGAGTATGTGTCTCGTATATGTAATGCACGTACCTTGGTGTGACTTAGGGTTGTTTTGGGCCTTAGGCCTGAGATAAGATGTCATGTGATTAGATAACGGACCTCGTCTGGGGCGAGATCCTCGGGAATTAGTTATGATTCACTTAAATGCCGAGCTGATGCCACGCGGTGCGCGTCCGAGTTCGGCTTGCGTTGTGGTGCCGAGCTCGGAGCTCGGCTACGCCCTCAACACTCCAAACCGAGGTCGAGTCCGAACCCCGTTAAAATCTTGAGGTCGAATACAAACCTCAACACTCCCAATCCGAAGTCGAATCTGAACCTCGTTAAAGTTTGAGGTCGAATACGAACCTCAATAATCTTATCCCATAACGCGCCACTTGCACGTTTCCGGGAAATGAACAGTCGCGACACATGGCACCACAACTACAAAATCCACGCCTAGAACGGCCCGTTCCGAGACTCATCCGGAACGGCCCGTTCTCCCTTCGAAATGGCCCGTTCTCCCTCCAGAACGGCCCGTTCTCCTTCCAGAACGATCCGTTCTCCTTCAGTAGTTTGGAACGGCCCGTTCTGGCTACTGAATTTTTTTTTCTCTACGTTACAGAAACGACGCTTGTTTCTGTGTCCTTCATTCAAGTAAGCAATTACTGAGATGACTCAATTAATTACTCCACATCTGCATTGACGATGGGAATTACCTCGTTAACCAACGACGTCGTTACACCTAAAACTTTATAAGCACCAGACTAATACCCTTTTTTATATGTAATTTTTCTGATATGTAATTCTCTATATATGCCCGTTCCTTGGTGTGTTAATTTTGTACCTGAAACTGACCGTTCTAGTTTCAGAACGGGTCGTTCTGGTTTTAGAACGGGCCGTTCTGATTCTAAATGTATTTATGAAATTTGGCATCTACCTATGCATCTACGTAGCATCCACTTGATATCTACGTAGCTAACAATTAACTCCGTTTAAATTATTTGGATAGAAATTCTAAATTGTAATAATTTAAATTATTAAGAATCAAATTAAAACTAAAAATTAAAATAAAATTAAATTAAAACAAAAAAAATATTATAAAAGATCAAACAAGAGTTTTAACTTATAATAAAATCTTTCAAACTAATAAGAACATAACCTTTAAATAAAAAAGGTATATAAATTAATTTATTTTCAGAGTTTTCAGGAAGATCTGCATCGAGGGATGAGAAGAGAAGGAGGGGTAGGGTGTTTATATAGTAAGGCCAGTAGAAGATTCCAGAATCTTAGTTGTGGAGGAAAGGTTGACTAGGGAGGATGATGGCTATGTTATGCTGCTTCTAGAATATTCTACGACTCCATTCTATCCCCAACCAAACACGTATTTCACACGTCGCAGAAGCTCCAACCCTCTCGTTTTACTGCAGGGTTGGCAGATTAATCAGCCAAAATTAAAAAAAAAATCTATAATTGAATTTGTTGCTTTTTTTCTGCTTTTTTATTGTGGATTAATCCATTTTTTTAACATATAATTACTAATAAAAGAAATATTTCTTTTAATAATAGTTATAGTGTATTTTTTTTTTTTATATTTTCTCACTCAATTATACAATAATTTTTTTTAACTATATATTCATAGAATATAAAATAGAAAGAATATATATATATATATATAATAATAATAATAACTTTTTGTGTAACAATTACAGTCATATGTAAAGTGTCTTCCCTAATGCAAATAAAGAGAAAATAAGACAAAGATTTCAGTTCTATAAAGGAAGCTTCCATAGCATAAACAGTGATCATGCGTAGTATCTTTAAAGGGAGGTTAATCCATTTTATCCATAAAATGTAATGTTTAATTATATTTCTATTAATATTTATTAATATATATATATATATATATTAGTTTAAATTTTAAATAATAATAACAAAATTCATTTGTATAAGTTGTTATATTCCTTAATCCAATACTGAAATTTAACTCCAACTAATCGTGACTAAACCGATATACTCTTGTAAAAAGCAGTGAAAAGAATTATACTTCTTTACTTAACAAAAATATATTATTAAACAATAAATTATTTATTCATAAAACATTGAATAAATACAATTTATAATGAACTGATTAAAGTGATGTTTTTAAAATTAGATCATTGAATTGATTTAGATGTTGATTTAATAATTTAATTATGATTGAATTGTAATTAAAATAATATTAATAAAATTATTATTATTATTATTACAAAATTAATATTAAATAAAATTTATAATTCTAAGAATTAAATTAAGATATTATTTATAAGTCCTTAACATTTAATATGTATGTAAAATTTTAAACTAAATCTAATATAATGTTTAAATTTTAATTTTAATAAAACATAATAATGTCCATTAATAATAACAAATAATTTAAATAAAATATAATAATATCCATTAATAATAACAAGTTTACATCTAGAATAAAAATATCAAATTAATATAATATACATTATAAAAAATAAAATGTTAAAAATTATAAATTTAAATAATTAAATTGTATTTATAAAGGTAAGTGTCAAAAATGATTTATTCTAATTTATAATTTTATTAAAATATTTAAATTAAATTTTTTATAAAATAAACTTAATTGATTCTATCAATTTTTTATTGGTTAATTGCAAAACAATTTTATAAGCCAATTAGACCAGTTAAGGACCAATTTTCAGCCTGACTAAGTGATTCGGTCCAGTTTTAGTAACCATGTCTTAATGTAACTTGTTCAGTCTGCCATATTTTTGTCTCCTAAATAGAATTCCATCTTGTAATTGAAAAATTGTAAAATATAATTTAAATATTTGAAAAATTATATTTTAATGGTGCAAACTTTAGATTAGTTTATTTTTTTAAAAGAGAAACTAACGTTAATAATTTAAGTTAAATACACTTATTTTTAAGCAATATAAAAATTTGTCTGATTTGTAATTTTAAATTATCTTTAAGAAAAAAGAACTATTTAAAAAAAATACTCATTACTTTTTTTGTACACAATAGCAATATTGTTAAAAAAAATTAATAAAGCGGTATAAGCTATAACTTATTTTCACAGAACCAATCCTTATAAGAATAAAGTATTACTTCACATTTCATATCTAAACTTAGAATTTAACATATTCTAAATTAAAATTAAGAAATACAAGTATCAAAACTATTTCTTACTTATTTCTCTTCTCACAACCAGAATTTTTATTTCTCTCTCCTCACAACTAAACATAGTGATATTGATCTTAGGTGACTTGAAAGTGAAGGATACCTTTGATGCATGCAGGAAAAAAGCCTCTTAACAAGAAGAAAAACTACTGTTTTCAAAAAGTAGCATAGATCAAGACCACAGCTAATCAAATCAAGTTAAAAGAAACCATTTGGAAACAGCACTTTTCTAACGAAAATGTAACAGATGATAAAATTTTCTTGACAACTATTGTTTTGTGACTAAGATTAAGATCTAACAACTAGGGGTCCCTATACATCCTGCTTGAAAACTGAACAAATATCTTTGATTTCCGTCACGTTCTCCCTAACCTTTAATTTTTAATCTATTTTTCACCCAATATTACAATACAGAGCATTTCTCTTTGATTCTTTGCTATGTCCGTGACTCCTGCTACATTGCAAAGCTCATAGAGCCTTTGAAGACATTTCAAGGTTCGATCAAATTAAATCTAATAGGGAAGCAAAGCACGATAAATTCAAGGCTTCACGTAATTAAAGAGTGAAGCCAAAGCCAAAGCCAACGAATCCATTGACAGAGTTAACATTCCTATTACAACATAATATCCATAAGGAAATCTTGTTCCCCCATTTCAAGGAATATCCAAATATATGTACAGAATGATATACGATAAACTAAAGTAGAATGAATAAATTGTTTATTTATCCTTTGTGTCCTCGGGCATCGCAGAAGCTTTGCAGATGGGACATACTTTCTTCATAGACAACCACTTTTTAACGCAACCCACATGGTAATCATGTCCACAAGTTTTCAGCGTCCCAACATCATCCATGTTCTTGTATTCTTCCTGCAATTTTCAACAAGGATCAGTAAGCACCGGATTATAAGGCCATCCAAATTTCTGAAGATAAAAGGGAGTAAGGGTCAACTAAATTCATCTAGTGAAAAATGTCAAAGATGCGTTGCGTAGAACAACCACGCAAACTCGAATATAGTTGTCTTGTTAGTGTCACTGCATGTTACTTATTCTGAATGGTAGAAGGAAACATACCAGACAGATTGCACAAGTTCCTTCTTCTTGACTTGGCTCAGACGAACAGTATATTGTTTCTCTCAAATACTTGGAAATCAAATCCTCAGACAATCCTGTGCTCACATGGCCAATTCTCTCTCCAAGTGCAAGTAGATCCTGGTCGAGACAACCATCCAAATAATTAACAAGATTAGACAGTAAATGATATTAATTATAACACAAAAAACAATAATATTACCTCATAACTCATGTTGTCTATGTCCATCCTCATGTCTCTATGCTGATCAAGCATATTCCTAGAACCATACAGTGAAGTACGATCAACAATCATGAAACCCTGTACAAACAATAAAACCAAATGAGTCATGTACCCCAATAAAAAGAACAAATTTGAGACTTCCCGGTGCAATTAAAGCAGAAACTAGAATCTTGCTTATTAAGTTATTAACTAGTCCATTTCACAAAGGATTTATTGGAACCAAGGTGCCTATAAAACTTTCTAGCTAACCAAATATCTCAATCAAGGTTATAGCTAAACTGGAGCCTGGGCAAAAAACATTAAGACAACAAGTGTTTCCAATCATTGCTGACAAGAACAAAGCACTTGAGAGTTGAAATAGTAGGTAATTAGAGATACCTCAGAGTTAAATCGATCACTGAGACCAACCTCATCAGCCAATGATCTATATCTATCATTAGGTATCCTTGACCTTCCATTTCTATCATTGTTCTGCCAACCAATGGTGGTCAATGGCCTTGGATGTCTAGAAGGGTAACTTTCAGCAACCATATGCAATCCATCATCAGAAGGTGCCACACGACCCAAGCGCAAGCCTGAAGAAGCCCTAAAAGTTGGAGTGGATCTTTGAGAGTAGTTACTGCGAACTCCTCTTGCAGTTTGAGTCGGATTATTTTGAAAACTTTGAGGAGCAGTAGGAATTCTGCTCGTTCCAAATTCATTATGAAAACCTCCAACATCTATAGGAGCATTACTAGAACCACTTCCAATGGGGAAATGACTTGCCTCATGATTAAAAGCATTTGCATCTGCATTTTAATAAAAAAAATATATATTACTTCAGATATAGAGTAAAGGAGGATAGAATGTGAGTGCTGGTACCAAATTACAAACTAACCTGATGATGACACCCTTCCATGAGCAGGACACATGCTCATTTGGCTCCAATCCCTTGTCAAAGTTCCAGAAGTTTGAATTGAAGGATCAACCATGCTAGAATGGTCAATTGGTGGACCAGTAGAGTATGAGTTGTGAGAATGAGTACATGATAAATGGGTCCTAGCCATGTTGGATTCTAAATCAAGTGCAGAACGGCTCCTCACATTCCTTAAAGAACCCTCACCCCGTATTGATAGGCCTCTACCTCTAAATGTGGGTGTCATACTAACATGATCCCAAGGCATATATAGAGAATCCATATTGGGCTTCTCTGGCCGCAATTCAGAAGATGTAGGATGATCAGCTGCATTTCCAGCATTAAAGTATCTGCTTGTACTTCCTCTCTCACAGACTGAAGGAATTCCAGGGCTCTTACGTTTGTGAGGCCCTCGTCCGTTTCCCATTGTAAGATCAATAAAACCACCATCAGCAACAGAAAATGCTTGTCTGTCATAATTGGAATTAGATGGCTGGTGTACATAGTTTTCAGACACTGCATAAAATATTCCAGCACTTGATGAATGCGGAAAATGATCATGAGAAGTGCCTGATGCATCTGTTTGATGAGGAGGTGCTTCAATGTTGAGACTTGTGGATGCATATCCATTTGACCTTGGTGCAGTGTTCCAATGAGGTGGAAAAGAAATGCTATCAACGGACATATTTTCCAAAGGATAAATAAAAGAACCATTATCTGACGTGGTAGTCCTACCTGCAATAGAGATCCAATATAATTGACATTTGACACAATATTTGACGTGTGCCGAGAAACATTTGTCATTAAAAAAAAGGCAAAATGGACCAAAATACAAATGAAAATAAACCATACCAAGGTGCACATATTGTTGATCAGTATGCATATGATTCCAGTTCTGGTCAGGTTCACCCTCAAACATTGCAGATGAGCTATATAAATGTCTATGCCCCATAACTAGTTAGCAATCTCAAGAGTCGAATAGACAGTATGGTTAAGTTAGACCAGCAAATAACTCAACCTGCAAGATAAAAGAGGCTCAATCATTCAGTAACAAAAAACAGATTTAATTCAAAACACACACCACTTCACAGCTACAACATATGCATGACACAAAATTCATCAATTACTGCAGCATGTGAAATAACAACATAAAAACAAAATATATGCTGAGTTGTATTTATTTAATTTATTCCATTTCCAACACAATGAATTGAAACTGGAGAGCCCTGCATTGTATTGTCAATATATTCCATACATATTATTTAACAAAATCCAGTTAAGACATTTATTTGAAAGAGAACTATGATTAGTCTAAAGAGTTGCCTGGATGCTGAATTCAAAGTAAATACTTCAAGTGATAATCCCAGCATCGCATACAGAATTTTGACTTTGAGTAATTGGCATTATGCAGAGTCAAGACATAAGAATGAACCATTAACCAGTCATTAGGAGATATTTTCAATGAGGGAAAAGTGAGAGAGAAGACAACAGATATGTATTCGCAAATACGTGTCAAATGAACTAGAATCAGAACTAAAAAGTCACAAGTCTGCAATGTAACCTTTTTTTAAAAAAAAAAAAAAAAGGTAATTACTATCATAATCATAAATTAAAAGTAGCACGGGGTTGATGCTTAGGGATAATTCAGATAGTCTTGCAAGGCAAGGGAGCACATACTCTATAAACCACAATTTAACATTTTGTATAAATACAGTCTTACTAGTATTAAGGAAAAAAAAGTAATCCTACAATTAAATCTAGCCTGACCTTCCTCTTCCACTTACAGCATATACAAGCACCACTGGCACTTCCAAATGTATAGTCAATAGAAAAATTCCTTAGATTATCGATATATTATTCATCAGTTTTCATCATTTGGCATTCAATCCTTTACAGGGCAAAAGGATCTAGGCCTACAGAAGACCACCTAGCTTGAAACTTCATGTCCAGCTGCCAAGAATACCAAAGAAAAGATCGAAGGGGTAAATAAGAAGTAACTAACTAATATAGGATCTCAATGGATAACAAGATGATGTGTTTAATCAGCCAAGAGGACAATACTCACAGCATGAACTATACTATCTATGTTAGTGTTCCAATTACCACCAAAATTGCATGATAGATGAAGGCTACAGCCCTGGTGAATTAGAACGCCATCAACAGGCATGCACAGAAAGAGAAGCATGACTACCAGCCACACAACAATTTGGCCAAATGAGGAGAATCACTGCTGGCAATTATTTCTGAAGGAGAGAAGGAATTATATGCTTCAGATCATCAAGGCTAGGGAATTCACCATAAATTGACAGAAACTAGCCTGTAAAATACTAAACAGTTGCCACTCATATACTCCTTAACCATAACAGATACCAAGAGCCCCAATAAGTCCAATCAATTGAAGCCAAACTCATAGAATGCCTCTCTTCATTGACACAAGAACACTGAACACCTTCCAGTATGAGGTAAGAAAATATTTATGAGGGAAAAGAGGTAGTAGTGTACATACACAAGGGAGAAAAATGGCATAGCTGACATTTAAATTATATGGATGTTGGTTCCTCACTCTAACTTATCACGTGTAGCAGCAAGAGTTTGGATATGACTTAAATGAGGAGCTATTGGAAGTAGGATGACTCGAGCAACAGACTTACCTGTCAAGGTTTACAAAGGATCACTCAGCAAATGTTAGCATTTCTATTCTTTTCCTGCACTTGAAAAAGATAATCAACTAAGTGCACAATCAGGCACAAAAGGGAAAGACTCCTGTATGTGCCTTCTAATAAGTATCAGTAGTCAAGACAAGACCAACTAAACACAAATAATTAATGTAAATACAAGTGTATTAAGCTAAAAAAAAAAAAAACAGAATATTTGAACTACAATGAAAATTTATTTTTAAAGGGGATGTACATCTCATAACAAACGTAAAAGGATGAATGCATTGGTAAAAAAACAAAAACAAGTTCACCCTGTTTATCATATAAGAAGCACAAGAATCTGAGGGGTAAAAATACCAAAACTAGTCTGCAGTTTTTACTACAAGGAAATGAAATGCTCTCCATATGTCACAAATAGTTTAAGAACCAGCAACATCTACTCCTCCCAAAACCACTATCTAATATTCTCCTAATCACAAAATTGTAACATTATTAGTGAGAATATGGGAGAGCAGAAAGAACCTTTCCCAAATATAATATATAAATGGTTCAGACCAGGCAAACATAATAGACATAAAAATAGAAGTCCACAGTATCCCAGCTTAAATAGTTTAAAGCTAAAATAAGAAGGCTAAGGCATATTTTCAATGAGTTAAATTGGTTCATTTCATTTTAGAAGGGAAATAAACATATTAAAACCATTCAAGAATGTTAAAAAATTAATTAACTATTCGGAATCAAATCAGCACTGTGCAGAGGACATGCCCCTGACCATCCACACATGTTGCACGTGTTCAGATATTGGCAATGTCCAAAGTGTACACAATTAAAAAGATGTCACCATAGATGCAGAAATTTTACCAAAAAGTTGTGAAGCAATTTTTTAACGAACGAGGTAAATGAAAATATAATACCAGAGTATCAAAGCTCATAACAATCAACTAAAAACCGGTTTTCAATTATGAGTAAAAATTAATACTTCAGGTTTAGTTTCAGATTTCACTGTAATTCAAATGCTAAATAATACCATTACAGAATAATAAATGAATTTCAAGACAGACAAATAGCTGAACAATATCCTGATGCTTATGCTTTCCAAACATAGGTTTTTGGTGTTAAGTTAAATCACACTTTAAATAATATTGCCCTTTTATCAAGAAAATTCCTGAATCTGTTCATATTTGAAACTATAATCATGTGGTTTATTGGCTTTGCATTAAAAAAAGGCATAAGAATATTTAAAAATAAAAACTTCAAAAGTAATGCAACGACTATTTCCACATAAAAAATTGCATTTTCCTGGAACATCAACAATCAAAGCACATCCAATATCCAATTGTAATAAACTCTTACACAAACCAGAGACAAGGGAGTTATGTATAAAAAGTGAGCGAGGCCTGCTTTAAGAAGGTCCACTGTCCCCAATAAGGGATGACTATTCAAATTAGGATGAATAAGTTCAAACAACGAAGAATTTTTCCAGCCCTCAAACTAGCTGTCAACACTCTTGACACTAGTTTCCATACATTCCTCAACCTTTAGGACCATGGGTGAAGATAATCAAATTGTGGTGATCAAACAGCTTCTCTATCAGCAAACTCACAGGTTCATATCCAAATAAAGCATCATCCAGAACTACACCAATACCAGCACTGACCACTGAGTAGGTGTGCCATTGGAGAAAACAACTTTTGGCAGAATAACAAGAATCACAAGCATAAAAGACATTTAATATCAATTCAGGGAAAATGAACAGTAGTCTTCATCAATCATATGCACTATTGGTCCAAGTGCAGGCCGATGGTGCAGTGAATTCTTTATGAATTGCTACACTCATTATACAACCCCACAAAGTAACACCACCACAACAGGAAGCATCATGTCAAATTCAAAACTAAAGAGACCAAGATGAATTTGACTAACACATTTACAAGTCACTGGGAGGAAGAAGTATCAAGGTTTTAAGCATCTTATCTCAGCACCCCAGAGCCCCTTAGAACTATAAAACTAAAATATGGAAATTGCTGCATCACTCCCTATATTGCCTGTAACACTCCACACCAGCATATTGCTTCATTGAACATTGGAATGTGACAGAGCTATTGCCACAACATCCTCAGCATAATTGTTAAGCCCTTTAATACCAAAAAAGCACCTGGTCCCAGAAGATGGATGAGCTAGATCTAAAGGCCACGTTCTAGTTGAATAAAGCCTATGTGGTTCTTCCAAATAACAGAGGATCTTTGGTGCCACATTCTTTCTTCTTCCTATATGACAGTTGGGATATAACAACCCATAACAGCCGCATAATTATGCTAATAAATCCTGACATAATAGCTCGTGCCAAAATCATCATTTCTATAGTCGCCTCATTTCTATAGTCACCCCATTAACCCAACACTTAAAAATCACTGTGACATCATCTGTGATTCAGACAATGTAATTGAAGTAACCAGATGAAGAAATTCATTCACTTCCATAACCTGTACAGTACAAATGCCAAGGCAAACAAAACCATTTCTCACCAATAATAATAATAATAATAACAATAATAATATCACTGTAATAAGAACCCAAAAGTATAAGTGATCATATACCAAAAACTGCTTGAAAAGAACGATGAAGGGTAAATTGCTAAAGAAAAGTGGGGAACAAGAGAATGAAGGAGAATTTCCATGGGAAGCACATCTCACAAGCACATGCGGATGTAAGCATGTATAATACAGCAGCAGCAGCAGCAAGAAACCTGCATAATAAAAAACCATCTAAACCTAATAGATACTAAGGAAATCTAAACAAAACCAAGACCAAAAATATATACCAGAGCAACCAATATTCAAAACCATGATGTGTGATAAACAATTAGTATTCAAGATTAGTTTAATTACAAATCCAAATGTCCCAATCTACCACATGTAATGACAAGAGGGTGAGCCTAGGCACGACGGTAAGGTTGCTGCCTTGTGACCTGGTAGGTTCAATGTTCAAATCCTGGGAACAACCTCTTCCCTGGTGTGGGTGAAACAGTGCACATCTACCCTCCCCAAACCCCTTTTACCACACATAAAAGACAGCAGAAGTTGAGAAATAATTAAAAACACAGATCAGGAGACGTTTTCCCCTTCTTCTACAAAGTCAGAGAAGAGATCTGAACAAATTGTTAGGATAAGAAGTATATACTAAACATAATACGTACATTCTATAGTATTAACAATAAGAAGTATGACAATAATTCATTGTTTTATTTTTTTCACTTCAGCCACAAAGGTTATTAACCAAAAAAGCATTTCGTGATGTCTATCCATCCAGCAGCATGCATTACACCACACAGAAGGAAACAAGTTTATAAAACTTCACCACATTTGACTGCAGATTTTTCTTTCCTTTGTTTCAATAATTATTTATTAAAAAAAAATGCATGCGGTTTCGTCAACGCGGAAAGCGTGAAGCGATGGTGATTTCCACCATTTCCGCCACACATTTGATATTCCATCACGCAACCACATAACACGAGAACGCACAAGCAAAACATCTCACAAACGGCGTCGTTTCCAACAGAAAATTCAAAATTCAGCACCGAACAAACAATCTGGAAATCAGAGAGTCCTGATGCACAACGAAAAAATCACCACAAAAGAATAACACATAATATTCTCTTCTCTGACTTAAAAAGAAAAAAAGAAATCGCAAACGGTCCTGGGAGAGGGCGATGAGACGGTAGGAAAAAGGAAGGAGAAGATCGGGATTGAGGAGGAGGAGGATCGGAAAGAGAAAAGACGAAGCGATGAAGTGAAGGCATGAAGAGTTAGGATGATGCATGTTAGATGAATAGAGAAAATAGGGGAAGAGAAACTTGCCTTGGTGGAGAGGAAGATGCAGAGGAACAAGTGTGTGGGTTTGTCCTAAGAAAGAGACAATGAAATAAAGCGGTTGTACGCAGAAATAAGAAACAAGAGGATGAGAATTCAGAAATTCCCTGCACTGCCCAATCTTACCGGTTACCTATACCATCAGTATTTACTCCTTTCATTAATTATTACTAAATACATCAACAACTTTCTTTTCTTTTTTACTTCCATTCCACTCTTTTTCACGCTCCTATCCTGTCGCCACTCAATTAATTCTAAATTCTAAATTCTAAATTATTATTAATCTAATTTTTAAAATAATTATTATAAAAAAAAAATATTATTACTAGTAGAAAATACAAAATTTTGTATTTTTAAAAAGATTATGTTCAAGAAAATAATCATTTTCCTTGAAAAGTAAATTTCATAGTGGCTTGTTAAAGTATATCTAGTTCAGCAGTAGGGGTTGATTAGGTTAGAGGTTCGAATCCTGCTTTGTGTATGTAGCCGCATTAAATTTTGGGGGCCAGTTATCCCACCCATTGAAGTGTCTCCAACCTAGCGAGGAGATTAGTCACGCCTAGTGGCAGTAGATACTCCAAGGACGAACAAAAAAAAAATCAAATCACATTTTATTAATAGTTACAGAACTCACATTTTATTTTGAAACCGTCAATAAATAAATTTTTATATAGGTAAACATTTTTTTATTAGTATATTTATTAATAGTTATAAATTATTATTATTATTATAATGATTCTAAATTTTTCTATAACATTCTCTTATTTTTATGATAAATATTAAATATATTTTATATTTTATATACAAATTATGTTTATGGTTTTATTTAAAGAAATAAAAATATTTGTAAAAAATTAATAACAAATATAACATTATAATAATTATTATTATTATGTTTGTCTTTTATTTTCTATGTTTTTTTTTTTACATTGTGTGTATCTTTACTTCTTTAGTACTTTCATACGTTATTGTGAAATCTAATTGTTATTTGTTACGGTTTGGATTTTATTTATATTTATATTTATATTTTTGCCTTTGCGTATGCGTGTTGACCGGAATAGGAAGGTTTTTTTAAGTGACAAAGGCAAATGATATGAGATTAACTCAGTTATGAGAAACGGAGTACGCAACACGTGACTTGACCCGAGGTGTTTTGGTATATGTTTGTTTGATCTTTTTTTAAAAAAAATGTATTCTAGTATTTTTACCTTTTCTAAGGAGTGCAAATTTTACTTTATGGTTGGAGGAATAGAATATCCAGCAAAATCTTTTTAGTATCATATCTTCTAATGACTTTTCAGCAAAAATATATATATCTTGTAATGACTCATTTAGTATTTAAGAGATTTTTAGAAGATTTTTTTTTTATCAAATGTATTCACACTTATAAAAGTAATTTGTTTTTTTGACAGAACTATTGTAAAAGTAATTTATGATACGTGCTTATAAACCTTGTAGTTTCTTTTTAGGACATAAACTTTGTCGTTGAACTTATAATAATCAGTATTTTCAATTCATTCTAATAAATTTTATAAATAATATTTTTTTTATTTGAGAAAAATTTATAACTCATTTCTACCATACAAAATATATATATATATAACAAAATCCTTTTAAATAATAATTTAATTAAAAAAGTCTGTCAAAAAATAATTAAAATACATTGACGGTATAAGATTTTTTACAATTTCATTCAACCATAATTTGTTGAGAAATTATTTTTATTTTATTTTATTGATAATATAAAAATTTACAATAATATACATTTATATATATATATATATATGAAAAGGGTTCAAACGACACTAATGTAACTTTTGTTAAATATTACACTGCTCAATAACTTTATATTAAATATAAATTTTATAAATTCAATCGTTAGAGTGAAAGTTATTTACTCTTATATTATATATGTAAAATTTTATATTAATTTAAGATGATTTGATATTTTATTTTTATAAAATAAAATTAATATATTATATATTTTAAAATATAATCAAATATGAACACTCTAATTATTTTTAAATTATTATTTAATTTTAATAAAATTTAATATAAATATATAAAGTTATAATTTAACGGTTAAATTTATAAAATTCACATTTAATATAAAATTATTGAATAGTATAATACTTAATAAAAATTACATCAATGTAATTTAAACCTTTCGATCTATATATATATATATATATAAATTAAGCCCATTGAATAAATACTTAATCTAATAATTGTTCGAACTAAATCTCGGAACACGTGTGATATAGGATAGTAGCAACCTACTTTTAACAGGTACAATAATCCCAAATTGCCATTTACTAGAAGGTTCAGATTCTTTCAACAAAATTTAAACTTTTGAGTAAAAGTAAAATACTTATTTTTCATTAATTTGCAGATTGCACAACGAATCATAACATCTCATGCCGGAAATTTATAATTAGATGAACGTTTTACATTTACTTAATTAATACAGAATATATTACAAATTTTGGAAACTTTAAATCTCCTTTAAAATTACCAAAGGAATGTGCACCCTTCAACCATAGTAGAAAGTCAGTGCACGATATATTATTGAATTTCGATGGTGCATATCATAAAAGTCATCTATCCACAATACGTACATATTTTTAAATAAAACCATCTTTTGTGATTCAATCTAAATAATCAATAGATAATATTTCATGAATTTATTTTCTCTTCACAAAAAAAAAATTAATGATAGGATGTTATGTTACTGTTAGAGCAAAATAAGGTAACTCGAGAATACTCGAAGCTTGAGGGTACTTAAAACCCGAGAATGCGTGAAATCATGGGAGATCGAAAAACAACAAAAGAAAACTCTGGAAACATACAAAGTATAAGAAGAATTAGGAGGTACTCGAGTACATCCTTCGCGAAGCACTCGAAATCCTTGAAACTCTACGACTCAAAATGCTTCGCAGCTTCGCAACCTCTCAAAGTGAAGGAATTAGAAGAGACATGGTTAAAAACAACTTATGTGTTGACGAAGTACAGGCAAAGTATAAGAAGAATCAGGAGACACTCGAATATATCTTTCGCGAATCATTCGAAATCCCAGGAAACCGACCATTCATGAGCATGCTTTGCAACCTCTCGAAATGAAGGACTTAGGGAAGACACGATTAGAGAAAGGTCGAAGTAAATCAAAGGGATAAGTATCAGACTACAAAGCGATTTGGGGGGTTATAAACGGTTCCGGAAGTTATTAGAAGACATGCATGAGTGACCCACGATATAGAAGTTTTAAACGGTTACACATTCGTGGCACGTCAGATACAGTTATTATGATCCCCCAAATCTCTATAAATTAATGAGTCGCGCTCATAGGAAAGGGTTGGAAATTGCATACTCACGAAGGCTCACAAACACTCTCTGTCTGCGCATATGGCTCTCGTGTACGAGACGACTGAGTACGATTTCTTGACCACCTTCTTTTTCTTTGTAGTTTAGGTCTAGTGTAGTTTAGTGTAGTTTGCTAATCACTTATTATCATCCTTATGCATTGTAATTCTGACATTATTGAATGAAAGATATGAATTCTGTAATCAATATATGTGTGGTTTATTCGATTCATATTAATGTTCGTATGCATGAAATTGGTTGTATGATAAATATTGATGAACACCTGAAGATTCTGGTATGCTAAGCAAGTATAATTGTACCCTAAATAACTAACTTTGTACACTGTTTGTATGAAAATTGTAAGAGTTTGTCACGTTATACATGCCTAAATTGAAATCTTGCTAGTTCGAATAAAAAGAATCTACAAACAAAAATCACCACAAACAAATTGGCACGCCCAGTGGGACACGTTTGTTGAACATAATTGAACTAATTGAACTAGTTTTATGTGTGTTTA